TGGAAAAGAGTGAAAGTGAGATTTTTAATGATAGTCTTGCAAGATTGGGTGTCTGATGAAGAGGCACACCCAGCACAGTTTTAATAAGCAATTTATCCCCTAGTGCACAGGTCCTTCCCCCAGTTCCTCATAGGCTGAGTACTATGGAGTCACAATTTTCCTGGACATTGCCTATTGATTGTTGGGTAGGGGCTTTAGGTTTTTTTTTTTTTTTTTATCTTTTAGATTTGTCTTGCTGCATTTTATTGCAGCCCATAATGCATTGCAATCTAGTTAGCTCAGAGGCTCTTCAAGTATTTGACTTATGACTTAAGTAACTGGGCAGGCTGATAAGAACAGACAAAACGAGCTATTTTGCAGGCTAGTAAACTTTTATCTTAAACTTCTTTGGTTCAGGTGAGGGCAACTAAGTAGGGGCCGGGAAGAGGGGTAGGGAGGCTGACAAGCAGGCATCAGCTATCCAAACAGGGGCCCAGTACATCCTGTTTCTTCTATAGTTTGTTGACCTAGGCTGACTTAAGGCACTTTGTCTTGGAAATGGACCACTGCATATATTACTCCCTTCATGAGGAAGGTGAGAAAATATGGGACATAACCTTGCAAATTTCGTTAAGTATGAAAATTACAGCAAAAGTTTACAAAGTTTTTTTGGGGGCCATTTTCCACTTTTCTTTAAAAAACAGATCTTCCTGTACACTGTATAATGCTGTAAACACAAAATAGATGTAGTCTTTGTCCTAAATAGCTAAAATGGTCAGTTTAATGGTTTTAAGTAATATGGCAAAGTTTAGTGCTTGAAATGAATTAAATGAGATAACTAAAATATATACAGCTATATCTTGTGATATGAAAGCAAAAGAGGCCAATTCCTCTTGTATATACTTATTAAAAGTCACATAGTAAAACTGTTGGAAAATGACTGATTTTTATTGAAATCAAAGTGAATATGGGCAACTAAAATGTATCCAGAAGATACATTAAATTGTGATATTTCATTTTATAAGTGAGTGCAACTAGCATTCTTTTAAATTATAGGTTCTTCAGGTGATTTTAAATATAATAGGGCCCCCTGGCACTGGCTCATCTGTCATTCATAGGTTATTTTAGTATTCCGTAGGATGCAAATGGCTTACAGTCACAAGATGTAATTTGCCTCAGAGGGCCAGGCACTCTTACCATCTCACTTTTTATTGTAGCTTCTATTCGTACTTATCCATATTCTCTTACCCTTTTCAGTCTGAGAACCTTTTCCTTTACTGAAATGATAGAGGCGAAACAGAGGTGAATGGATTTTCAGTCTTTCTCTTCTGTTAATTTATACCACAGACTCCAAATAGATTTAATTCCTCGTTTTTGTTTTCTTGGACCTAACAATTTTTTTTTTTTTTGCCACTCTTAGAGTTTCCCCCAACTTCAACTCATTATAGACTTTCTATTTTCTGTAAATCAATGATTTATCTAATTAAAAATGGAAATTCATTTTATCTAGTCACCTATTACCATTTTTCATGGCACTAAATTACCTATACAGAATATAATTCCAATTTAAAATTTTTGATGTGAAATTAGTGTAATCCACATTTCTTTTTATTTTGGAAAATTTCAAACCCAGAGAAAAAAAACATAAACATTTGGACGCTTCTCCAACTGATTCACCCATTTTTAATATTTTGCCATATTTACCTCTTTTCTCTCTTTTTTCTCTTTCTTTCTTTCTTTTTTTTTTTGGAGACGGAGTCCCGCTCTGTCGCCAGGCTGGAGTGCAGTGGCGCGATCTGGGCTCACTGCAACTTCCGCCTCCCAGGTTCAAGCAACTCTCCTGCCTCAGCCTCCTTTCTCTTTCTTACCTGTATATATGTATCTATGTTTATATGTTTTATATATTTTACAAATGTTTTTCTCTGAATCATTTGCAAATAACTTGTAGATCCAATTCTTCTTCGTCCATAAATGGTTTGACATAAAATTCTCAATTGAAGGACAATAACATTATCACACTTAAGAAAACCATAATTCCATTATACTATCCAATATCTAGTCCAGATTCAAATTTCTGCAACTGGCCACCAGTAATTATTTTTTCATTTATTTTTTAGATCCAGGATTGAATTTTGTTTTCATGTCTCTTGCATCTCTTAAATTTGAAATAATTCTTTTTTTTTCTTTTTTTTTCTTTTTTTTTTGAGATGGAGTCTCACTCTGTCTCCCAGGCTGGAGTGCAGTGGTGCAATCTCGGCTCACTGCCAGCTCCGCCTCCCGGGTTCACGCCATTCTCCTGCCTCAGCCTCCCGAGTAGCTGGGACTACAGGTGCCCGCCACGGCGCCGGCTAATGTGTGTGTGTGTGTGTGTGTGTGTGTGTGTGTGTGTGCTTTTAATAGAGACGGGGTTTCACCGTGTTAGCCAAGATTGTCTCGATCTCCTGATCTCGTGATCCGCCCGCCTCGGCCTCCCAAAGTGCTGGGATTACAGGCGTGAGCCACCGCGCCCGACCTTATTTTTTTTTTTTTAAAGAATTATTTCTGGCCAGGTGCGGTGGCTCACGCCTGTAATCCCAGCACTTTGGGAGGCCGAGGCGGGTGGATCATGAGGTCGGATCACGAGGTCAGGAGATGGAGACCATCCTGGCTAACACGGTGAAACCTAGTCTCGGCGACAGAGTGAAACACCCCTCTCAATTAAAAAAAAAAAAAATCTTAAATTACATTTTAACAGTCTAGGCCAGAGGAGAATATGCCTCATTGTGGATTTATGTGCCTGCGTCTTCATGTTTAACTTGCTCAAATATCACCTATACGTCCTTTACATTTCTTCTTACATCTAGACCTTAGCATTACTGACATTCTGGGTCAGATCATTCTTTGGAGTTCAGGGATGTCCTGTGCTTTGTAGGATATTTAGCAGTATTCCTGCTGCATCCCATGAGATGCATAACAACACTCCTACCTCCTCAGATTGTGACAACCCAGACATTGCTAAATGGATTTGGGGATGTGGGGGTTAGTTTAGGATCCACTGTCCAGAAGCTTGGTTAAATTCCGGTTAAACAATTTTGGCAAGAATACTTCTTAAGTGATGTGTATGCCTAATTGCATTACATCAGTAGGCAGATTACATTAGAGTGTCCCATTATTAGTGATTCTAGCTTTGATCTCTTAAGGCAGGGTTTTGTTTTTTTTTTTTTTCAAGATAAGGTACATTTTCCCTTCTGTAATAAGTTATGGCTTGATACTTTGAGACCATGTGAAGATCCTGTACTCCTAGTCTTTTACCCTGTGACTTTTAGTATCTTCTGATAAATTTTCCTGAAACAATTGTGGTTGACTTGGAAAACTGTGATTTTTCTATCATTTGTTCTGCATTTACTATCTTGTATTCCGCTGAAAGAAAAGGTTTTGTCCTCCTTCCCTTTTATTTTTCGTGGCACTCCGAAGAAATTCAATGTGTTTCATCAATTATTGTCACCATTTTTTTGATGCTCATGTTGTCCCACATTTCTCCAGTAAAAACCCCATTCTTGAAGGGAATTTAGTATTTTGTGGAGTATTTTATTATTGTAAGGACCATGCAGTGGTAAATCCTTATTGAATCACATGGCATGTGAGAACAAATGGCTTTATAACCAGTGAGCAATTCTGATGATTGGGACAACTTATCATTTTCATAGTTAACAGGTTACACTAACTGCAAAATGTAAATAATTGGTAAGAGAAAATTCTAACCGCCAATAAAAATTATTGGCAATTTATTTTTGAGTCATCTACTTACATTTAAAATGGCATATCTATTCCTGGTTCCTGGATATGATGGCCGATGACTATAAATTGAAATATACCTGTAGTATACTTATCACCTAAACACTACATACTATGGCACATTGTAGCGAACAGGATGGAGATGCTTCTGATCTAAAATTATCTAAACGATATGCCTGGGAGCAAATCTCAATAACATTCCTTAAGGAAAGCATCGCGATTTTATAACTATGACTTTTGGGAAGACCAAACGGAATACCCCAGCTGAAATGAGAAAAATCTGTATTAAGGAATTTTAGCTCCACCCTGGGCAATTATCCCCTTCCTTCCGTCACTGTCAATTTCCTCCCCAATCCCAAGAGCGCCTCTGCCCAGTTCCGCAGTCTCTGCTCCAAGTCTCTTTTTGATGATGCCTTTAGAAGAAGCAGCGGCAAGCAGCGGAGATAGGGGTTAAGTTCGTAACAGTCTTCTTCTCCCGACCTAGCAGATGGGGACAGTACCCCTCAAAAGCCTCTTTGCCAGCCCTACTGGACGCCGCAGAAGTGAAAGACCAAGAGGGTGGAGCAATCTTTTAGGGAGTGCCTGTACCCTTCCTCCTGTTCCTCTCTGATTGGCCAGCGTGAGTCACGGACGCCCAATCGCACGGCAGCGTCCGCCGTGCCGCTCGGCGACGGCGCCGCGCATGCCCACTCAGGGACCCACCCCGCGCCCCAGCCCTCTGGAGCGCTGGCGAAGGGCACCGGCGGGGAGGCGGCTGTGGTTGCTGGACGCGGCAGTACAGAGCTAAGGTCTCAGGGCCGCGCTGGGACACGGATGGTCCCAGGGGGAGGGCGACAGGAAAAACAAGCACTGACACAACCGCCCCATTTCCCCATATTCCCTAAGAGCAGGTTTTCTTGGGCTGACCATTTTCACTGTGGTGTCCGACTTGGGCAACTCGATCTGCCAGTGGGGACTCAAGGCTGAGCTGCATTTTTTCTTTGCGTCCCGGCGGACCAAAAGGCGAGGGGAAGGGAACGAGTCTTTATAAAAAAGTAAACTTTCGTGTAGAATGGGCTGGGGACACCTCCGAGTTTGGCTTCCCGCAACGTGACCTTTTTAGCGCCGTCCTGGACGCGCTGCCTCGCAGCCAACCCGTCAGTCTCCTCAGGCCTTATCCTGCCCTCTCTGAGGTGGCCGCCTGTCGGCGCTGCAAACGCCACACTTTTGCTCTACGAAGAACCTCCTCACGACTTTCCAAGGTGTGCAACTCAGAAAAGTGCTCCCCAAAACAAGTAAAAACCTTCGGGGAAGAGGCAAAGTCCCTGAGCTATCCTGACCCCAGCCGCCGGCCCGTGTTTGGTGGATCAGGTCCTGGAGCTCGGCAGCCTGGAAGCCCCACACCAGGCCGGCCCCTACGGCCGCTCAGAAAACGCGGCGAGCGGAACCCGCACGCGGAAGCGCCGGCCGCACTGAGCATGCCCAGTTGCAGAGCCGACCAGAGGAGTTTTTTCTTTTCTTTTCTTTTTTTTTTTTGGGGGGGGGTCTCAAGTAGGAGGCCTCCCCACCACCCCCACCCCAACCCCCCAGCACCCCCGGCTTAAGCAGCTACCATGGCCCAGGTGGCCAACGCGGCGTTGTCCCAGGCGGGTTGGTAAGTGGCGAGTCCCGCCGGCTGCCGGGCCGCGGGCGCGGGCCGGGGCCCCAAGGCGGTTGGGTTGGGGGCGGCGGGGTGCGTGTCGGGGTAGGCGGAGGCTGCTGTCCGCCCCCGGCCTCTCCCCGGGCCCTCCGGGCCGGCTCCGCCCCCGGCGCCACGCGAGCCCAGCGAGTACCCCTGTGTCCCCTCGAGGCGGCGGCGGCAGCGGCCTGGGCCTCGGGCGGCGAGCGGCGGGCCTGGGGAGAGGCCGGGGGCCGCGAGCCGGGCGGGTGGCGACCCAGACCCCGGCCGAGTGGAGCGCCGGAGAGGACCTGCAGTGCCTTCGCGCTGCCGCTCCGGGGAGGGGGTGTTTCTGCGGCGGGACAAGGGGAGGCGAAGGCCGGGAACGAAGTGCGGTGCAGAGGGACCAACGCGGCGGAGCCCGCGGGCCCTTAGGAAGTTGAGGGCAGAGCGGCGCACAGCCTGCGCTGCGGTCGGAGCCGCCTCTTCTTGCCCCTTGTTTCAAAGTATAGTGTGGACCAGTGTGAAGCTGCCCTCCGCGTCACACACACAACTTCTGGAGCTAAGAATGACCGCATTGTCAACTCGTGGGGGTGCTCGGTAGAACTTTTCTTGAAAGGATGGTGTTCTGAATTTACGAGGCCTTTCGTGTCAAGATTTTCAGGATTTGAAAACAATACAGAATTATGTGAAATTAGGCAGTTTCTGGAATTGCGGCCATTACGGTTGTAATCATCCCGTTTAATTCAGTAACGCTTTTCCCAGACTTGCACAGGCACATTCTGGGATAAAGAGTAGAAACGGGGATGAAGAAGATTTGCCTTGGCTCTCTGCAATTACTGCTTTGGAAGAAAGAGTGAGGCATTAAAAGACCAAACAAAACCAGGGAGAATAGTGGTAAACCGTATGTACAGAGGAACAGATGAGTGCACTGTGGAATGGGAGGGAGAGTTAATTTCCTGAAGTGGACTTGGGAAGATGGTAAGGAAAAGGCTTTCTAGCACAGAACTGCTAGAGATGAAACAGGGAAGCGCTTATTGTTTTGCAGAACCTACACAAGATCTATATGGTTCGTGAAAGATGTGGGTTTGATTTTGTGAATAAAGTTTTTGATCAGTGGAGGGATATAATCACAATTGTGTTTTGAAGAAGCCCCTCCTGGTTTTAAAGGCACTTGTGTTGTTAAACACCCCATTTTACAGGTGAGGAGACTGAGGCAAAGAGCTGCTAAGTAACTTTCCCGAAGTGACATAGCTAGAAAGTGGTGGAGTTCATTGTTGAGCACAGAGGGCCTGGCTCTGGTCCTGGTTCCTTTAACTCTTATGCGTTATTGTTCCTATAGTTTTTTCACAGAACAGCATTGGCGTAAAAGATTGTAGAGTTAAAAACTCACTGGCTTCAGTTTTGTTTTTGTTAAATAGGAATCTCTTCTTTTAGTTTTTTTTACCCACAAGGGTGTCCTGAATTATCTTGGGTCGCTCTTTCATTTGCCTTTCTCCCCGTTTATCATTAGATTGAGCGTTGATCCTTCACACTAGTAATATTTTCATTTACAAACTCAGTATTTTACTACTTTCCAACATGACCCCGCCTCCTCTGGAAAGATTAGTCTCATTTTTTAGGTCCCGAACACATGCTGACTTTGTTTTCTGTGGCCTCTTATGCTCTTCCAGGGCAGGGAACTGAGTCTTATTTTTCTCCTTATCTGGATTGTCAAGAAGTGCACCAGATTGTAGGTTCTTTGTAAAGTCTAATACAGTTGACCTTGGAATGCCCCTGCCAGTCAGAATTCTCCGGACAGGGCCTCTGCAGAAGCTTAGGCAGAGTCCCACCCTGCTTTGTTATATTGTTGTAAATCTTCAGCAATGTTATATTGTAGCATTTGCTACTTTGTATTGCAACTTATCTGTTTATGTTTCTCCCACCTGTCTGTGCTGCTTCTATGTGGCAGTAACTCATAAAGGCAGTAGTAATCTGTGGCGCTAATAAGACTATCTTTCTAGGAATTGTGAGTTTCATGTAATTCCTGCTAGGTCTTGAACAGACTAGGCATGAGGATCTCCTAGGCTTTCAGGTGGCTTCGACTAAATCTTTAATTAGGGACTTACTATGTTAAAATTTAGAATCACAAAGGTTTAAAGGCAGAAAAGAGCACTGGAAGGAAAATTTCTGACTGAAGGGCTTTCACTAGCTCATTTTAGTTCTTACATCCTGAGTTTGCTCTTATACTTGGGGTTCTCTGTTACTGTCACTGACAAACCATTTTTCTTCGAATTCAAATCTATGTGCTTAGTTACTTGTTGAAGCTAAAAAGAAATAGATGCTAAAACATGGAAACACTATTGTTAAATCTGTTCTACAGGCTTTACCTAAAATAGCAGATTAGGGAAATATTTAGTGCTGAAAAGTTTACAATTCTGAAAATATGATCTTCAGGGGGGTACAGAAGATCTATGTAGACCAATCTGTTCAAGTTTCCATTATTTTTAAGTGCAATTTTTTTCCTTCTTAAGGTTTTAATCTTCATTAGAACCGCTGTAAAAATCAATATTTTAAAATATAGCTTCAAAAATAGCTACCTGGCAGACTTAAAATAATTTTTTTCTTCAATGGCCAGTAGCACACAAACGATTTGCTGATTTGAACTTAAATGTTTTAGGGCTTTCTACAGTATAGTGATTATGTTTAAATAATGCACTAAATGGTACCTTGTAAGGCTTAATTATATGAATGGAATAAGTTCATGGGGAAAAGAAATCTGACTCTGAATTTATCTAGATAAAAGTATTACTCACTCTGCATTTTTGTTTTCTCTCTTCAGGGATTCATTCTCCTTTGGGATGATATCCCTGATCACTCTTAGTGGAAATACAAAATTCTACTTGTGGGAGAAAGATTTAAAAGGTTGATCTCTGGACATTTTGAATTTTTCTCTTCCATCTTCATCCTTTGTTTGTTTGTTTTTAACAGAAACATGTCACGGGGTACCTAATCAGTTGTGTTTTTGTTTTTGAAAAAGTATCTTCTGGCTGGGCATGGTGGTGGCTCATTCCTGTAATCCCAGCACTTTGGGAGGCTAAGGCGGGTGGGCAGGAGTTGGAGACCTGCCTGGCAAAAATGGTGAAACCCCATTTCTACTAAAATTTCTACAAAAAAATTAGCCAGGCGTGGTGGCAGTCTCCTGTAATCCCAGCTACTTGGTGAGGCTGAGGCATGAGAATCGCTTGAACCCAGGAGGCGGAAGTTGCAGTGAGTTGAGATTGCACTGTTGCACTCCAGCCTGGGCAACAGAGCAAGACTCTGTCTCAAAAAAAAAAAAAAAAAAAGGTATCTTCCGTGGAATTAGTGTTGCATAGCTTTAACTTTCTGTGCATATGAGAAAACTGAAGCACAGAGTTTTCAATAATTTGCTCAGTTATAAATGGCAGAACCAAGAATAGAGCCCAGATGTCTGGAGTAAAGATTCAGTACTCATTTCCACCAAAAATTAACAGAAGTGACCACATCTAATTTAAATTATTGATCAAAAGTGACACATTTTAAAATTGAAAATTGGGTTGAAGCATTTTGTGGTGTGTAAATTTACTTTCCTAGTCCAGGAAAGATAAAGGGCCTATTCCGAGGGGTGATCCTGTTAGAATCAAATAAATCTTTGCCTTGCAGTGAATCAACTAATTGCGTACTAGGCTTATCTGAAAATCTGGTACATTCTGTATTTTTTGAGGTTTAAGAATACAGTAGGCCCTCCATATCTGTGGGTTCTGCGTCCTTGGATTCAACCAGTCACAGATCTAAAATATTTGGAAAAATTTTAAAAAAAATACAACAACAAAAATAATATGAATAAAAAATAAAATATAACTTTACATAGCATTTACACTGTATTAGGTATTTTAAGTAGTCTAGAGATGATTTCGGGTATACAGGAGAACGTGTGTAGGTTGTATGCAAATACTGTACTACACTATTTTGTGTCAGGGACTTGAGCATCAGTAGACTTTGTTATCTGTGGGGGCCCTGGGACCGATCCCTTATGGATACTGGGGGATGACTATATCTGAAAAAGTGGGACACTATGTTGTGTGTCTTTGCTTCTTTTACCCAGTAGTTTGAGTTGAAGACCCTTTAAGGTAGCATATGCAATAGCATTTCCATTTTGTTCTGAAAGAACATGTAGTCTTAGGAAGCCCAGGTTTCTGACACCCAGGGGTTAGCCATGGAGTACTCCAGGTTTTGTTTTGTTTGTTTGTTTTGAGGGCAGAGATGGGATGGAGAGGATAAACAAAGGTCTCCTTTTAACCTCTTTGGGGTTATCTCCATTTGATTATTGGTGCTATCACCATGCTGACATCCTCTGGCCCAAGTGCATACATAACTCCTTTCCCTTCGTTTCACCTTTGAACAACTAAGAAAGGCTACAGTTTATTAAGGTCTTTATCAGAATGTAGAACTAGAAAACAACTACGAGATAAATAGAAAAAATAAGAAGCATGATGACAGTACAGGTTATAAAGTGATTATTGTGCTCTTGTATTCAAGGGCCCACTCTATTCCACATTACTTTGAAGATAGCTACTACAAAGAGGTGGAACAACTTCAGGATATTTTGCTGGAATTTCTAATTCCTGGTTTTTGACCTGTCCACAGATGAAGGGCTTCTTTTCATATTCCATTACATAGAGGCTTCTTCTCAGACACATTAATGACCATGACTGAGAAACTCAGATGCCCAGCCTGCAGCCACTGCTGTGCCTTTGTTTTTTCAGTTCTGGTTTTCTTAGCGACACACCTTTTTTCCAGGAGATTACTGGTGAATGATCTCACTCTTCAGATGAGAAACACTGTGTAGCAGCATCAGTACAACCTCTGCAGTAGCAGCAATATAATTATACCTTCTTATACTAGTGGTAATAGACGTAAAATATGAGTTTATGCATATAATAAGAGGGTATTAGAAGTTTTGCTCCCTCACTATTCCAATACATCTCTTAGAAATA